GTGGTCAAAGATCCAGACTCGCGCTTGCGAGGGCATTATACCAGTCGGTAAGCAAAATTATCGTCTGTGGCCATGTTGAGTAGTTAATGTGACTTACATTCCCTGAAGTGTTTAGTTCAATTGATATTTAAACTAAACTCGATGGTTCCTTCTAGTAGAATCATTCATGACGATAGTTATACTCCTAATAATCTGTCTGGTCTTAGGTGAACGCCTAAGTATGTTCAGCCCATTCAATCAATTCTGGCAAACAGTTTGCCAAGAGTCATGAATTCATGACAAACGTCATATTGTCAGTGTCACTTTGAATAGAATTCACATTCGTAACAATGGACAGTTTAACAAATGACGTACAATATGTATTAATGGAAATGCCACGTCAAGTTTTTCCGCTTGTTTATTTACTATGTCTAAAGTTAATGTATCAGATGTTTTTAGTCGCTACTGCGGTCAGTGATAATGGGCTGATCATATCTGACAGAATAGCCGTTGTTGAATGGTATTTTTAAAGTTCAGGGTTTCCTTGAATAGTAAACAAATCTCTTGCCATTTGCTCCTGTAAGATCATAGCGACATCGTTATATCGCTCTCGATTTTTGAAACTTTTACTACTGTTATGACGCAATGTTATGTACAATTTCTAGTCATGTATTGTGTAGGACAAGAGTTTGTACCTCCTGGATGACCCGTTTTCTGGAGTAGATGCACAAGTTGCTAAGGTTTTATTCGAGCGTTGTTTCCTCGGCCTTCTGCGCGGAAAAACAGTGCTGCTGGTCACCCATAACCAAAACGCGTTGGCTAAGAGTGATCGAACCGTGGTTATGGAAAACGGAAGGATTAATGTCGAAGGTATACTGGTCTAATTGATTTACACTAATTCAATCCGTTTCTTGTCGTGAAGGAATATCGATGGTCACATCTTCGCCTGATGAGGATGAGCAGCAATCACCCGTCACTTCAGACCTGAAAGAAGGACGAATTCTGGAAGACGAGTATTCGGCTGAACATGCTCTTGTGGCGGAGGAAGAAAAGGAGGTTAGTGTTGGAAGAAAATTAGCTGAAAACTATGACAAACTACGCACAGTTACAATTAACGGATATCAGTTGATACACCGAATACCCATGTTTTGGTCTGATGGAGAATAGTGTCTCTGCTAATTTAAGCTACGCTTGTCTCCGTATATACTGTAACATCCGTTGATAACTGTGTGACAAAATTAACACTTTTTCTGGTAAACACATAAGATTAGTGAATTTTATATATAGTAAAGGTTTCGTGACATCAGCCGTGCGTCCGGAAACATGGGAGGTATAGTACTGTAATGTTTTATTCTGTTACTTTGCTTATCTGGCAGATTCTACCGGAAAGAACATAGATTTTTGATCTAATTATGTAGTACTCCGCCATGGCCGGTCCCAAGCCCGGATGAGAAAGGAGGAGGGTTGGAGACCGTGGCAAGTCTCCGCA